CCAGCACTGAGCCTTAGTGACCCTCAGCCCATTGATTAAGTCAGTCGAGGTCTCTCTGTAGAGCTTTCCTACCCTCAGGCAGACTCACACTCCCACCCAACGTAGTGTCCTCTACAAATCACTGAAGGTAACCATTCTATTTTTTTGAGCCATTCCAAACATTTGTGCTGGTGCAGACTGCACAGGAGCCCTGTGGCCACCAGCTCCACTCCTGCTCCTTGGCTGACCATCTCATTTTCCTGCTGGGACACGCTTGGGATTTGGACAGAGCATCCTCTTTCAAATGAGTCCTCAGCTGACCCAGATACAGGCTGGACATGGCAATGTCCCATCTGCCACAGCACTTTGGTTTCACAAAGTCATCCCAGTGGATAAGGGATGTGATCTCCAAGTCAGATAAGCACCTTGGCTACAGGAAGTTTTCCACCTGGGTTTTTCTTTCCCCAGAGCCAAATCATCTGCTCCAGAGGGTACCCCAGTGAGGTGTATGAGGTCCTGACTCCTGATGGCTACTACATCACCCTGAACAGAATTCCTCATGGGAGAGAAAAGCATAGGAACAGAGGTATGGATCTATTTCAGGCAGAACCAGCAAGAAATAACCCTGAACACAACAAGGTGAAGGGATAAACCTTACCAGGCTCCAGGGACATTTATTATTAAAGCCAAAATCCCAAATCCATGAGGTTTCTCCAATTTACTGCAAAGCTGTAGCACCAGACAGCAACAAAGTGCACATTGTATGTCCTTTGGCAGTGCAAGGAAGAGGCTTTATTGGCCTGAATCCATCGGGTTTCTCCAACTTACAGTAAAGCTGTAGCAGCAAAAGGCAACGGAATGCACATTGTATATCCTCTGGCACTGCAAAGAAGAGACTTTATTGGTCTGGATTTGAGGGGAGTAAACAGAGGAGTTCTGTTTCACTGAAATGTGGTTTCTCTCTCACCCAGAGGCCAGGCCAGTGGTATTTCTCCAGCATGGGCTGTTTGGACAAGGAAGTCACTGGGTGGCCAACCTGCCTAACAACAGCCTTGGCTTCATGCTGGCAGACTCTGGCTATGATGTGTGGCTGGGAAACAGCCGTGGGACAAGCTGGTCCCAGAGGCACCAACACCTTTCAGCTGACCAGGATGAGTTCTGGGATTTCAGGTAGGCTAGAGAGAGTTACAAACTCATGGCAAACTCCTCTGTCTCTCACCAGCCTCTAGGCAGAGGTAGATGCCTCCAAGCAGGCAAGTCAAAGCACCTAATCCCTGGATACAGCCTACCCCAGCCCTCCTAGTGCTGTGCCAGGGAAGGATGGAGGTGTCTGTGCAGACCTGCATGCAGGCATGGTGCCAACACCTTGTTGTAGATACAAAGAGCAGAGGGCAATGCCTGTCCTGTGGAGCCATCAGCTCTGTCTCAGGGCATCAGGACCCCAGTGAGGTGTCCACAAGTGTCACTGTGACCTCCACTTCTCCTGGATGTTCACAGAAACTTTAGCATGAAACCCTAGAGTCATCAAGTTTGGAGGAGGCCTCTGAGATGATCTAGTCCAACCGTTAACCTGTCACTGCTGCAACACCTAAACCGTAAACCATATCCTCCAGCACCAGATGCAGACACCTTTTAAACACCTCCAGGGGTGGTGACTCCTCCACCTCTCTGAGAAATCTATTCCAATGCCTGAACACCCTCACAGGGAAAAGTTCTCCTAATATCTCCTCTGACTCTGCCCTGTCTCAGCTCAAGGCCATTCCCTCTAGTCTCTTCCAACCTTGATGATTCTATGATTCTGAGGCACACGGGCAGGCACTGGTGCTCCATTCCCTCCTGAGTAAGAACATTCCCAGGAGCAGAGCTGGTGCTGTAACCCTGGTGAGAGTCAGTTCAGGACATGAATGCTCATTTGGAGAGGCTCTGCACAGCTTATTTACTGTTCATCATGGTTATGGGAGGACCAAGCCCTTTCAGGGAAGGATGAGGTCATGGCAGGAATGATACCTTCAGTTCCTTGAAGTTTCACCCAGCACAGGTAGAATTTTGTCTTGGCAAACCAGCCCTGGATGTTGAGCCCTTGGGTACACATGCAATGCTAGACAGGCAGAGCTCACAGCTAAGCTCTGTTTGCTAAGCACAAACACACACTTCTCCTGTGTTTCAGCTTCCATGAGATGGCAATGTATGACCTTCCAGCCATGATAGACTTTGTGCTGCAGAAGACTGGACAGAAGAGGCTCCACTATGTTGGCTACTCCCAGGGCTGCACAATGGGTTGGTTCCAAGGGCTTTGCACATCACGTTGCCTTGAAATCATTCCTTTGGGTCTTTGTCACTCAAAAGCAGAGAGATGGGCCCACCTGGGTGGGCTGAACATCCATTCAAGTGCCTCAGCAGCCACTTCTAATGATAGGAATAAAGGTGTTGTCTCCCTTTGGACATCTCTTGCACTAACATTAAGCGGGAAGGTGGCAAGAGATTCATAGAGTGTTTAGGGATTGGGATGAATCTTAAACATGATCTAGTCCCAACCTCCTGCCCAAGCAGGCACATCTCCCACCAGAACAGGTTGCTCAAAGCTTCATCCAACCTGGCTCGGTACACTGCCAGGGTTGGGGCAGCCACAGCTTCCCTGGGCAACCTGTGCCAGTGTCTCACCACCCTCACAGGGAAAACTTCTTCCTGATATCTAATCTAATTTTCCCTCTTTCAGTTTATTGCCATTGTTCCTTGTTCTGTCAGTGAAGCTTCT